CAATTACTAAAAATATTGATCAGGAGTTAGTTAATAGATTACAGCAGCAAACCGAGATAGAAGTGGTTAAGAAAGTAAAATATTTAGGGGTTTGGTTAACCCCCAGGAGTATTGACTTGTTTCAGAACAATTATGTTGCAACATGGAATAAGATTAAAAGGGACCTTGAGGTATGGGGAAGAATGAAACTTTCCTTTTGGGGAAGAATTACAACCATAAAAATGAATGTGCTACCGAAGATGTTATTTCTATTCCAAACAGTTCCAGTAATCAAGGGGGCAGCAATTTTTAAAAACTGGCCAAGAGAAATTTCAAGGTATATCTGGCAGGGTAAGAAGCCGAGGATAAAATTTAAGATTTTAACAGATGCAAAAGAAAGAGGAGGCTTCGCCCTGCCAGACCTGAAATTATATTATGAAGCATCTTGCCTCTGTTGGTTAAAGGAATGGATAAAATTACAAGACACGGATGTGTTAGACTTAGAAGGTTTTGATAATAGATTTGGGTGGCACGCGTACTTGTGGTACGATAAGAAACGGGTCCACAAAGGTTTTGAAAATCATATTATAAGAAGGTCCTTGATTGAAGTATGGGAAAGATACAAAAATCTGTTGGAACAAAAAACACCTTATTGGTTATCACCGCTGGAAGCGATGAGCGTGAAGAAAGTCAATATGACAGGGGGTTGGGTAACATATGAGAAATTAATATGTAAAAGTGAAGGAAAATGGAAAATGAGACCATTTGAAGAAGTCAAGAATCATGTGAATGACTGGCTGCATTTTTTCAAATTAATGAGATGTTTAGAAAAGATTTAAATGAAAGGGGCTTTGCTGATAAAGAATCCAAATTTCAGACTGACATATTAAATAATGACTGTAAGATCTTAGCAAAAATGTATAAGATATTGCTGGAATGGTATACGAAGGATGAGGAGGTAAAATCTGTGATGATTGATTGGGCCAAAGATATAGGACATAATATACAAATGGAGGAATGGGAAAGACTTTGGAAAGATGGTTTAAGATTCACTGCATGTACTGCTATAAAAGAAAATGTTATGAAGATGATGTATCGATGGTATATAACCCCCGTAAAGTTAGCAAAAATGTATAAGATAAGTAACAAATGTTGGAAATGTAAGGAAAAGGAAGGCACTTTCTTTCATATGTGGTGGGAGTGTAAGAAGGTAAAATGCTTCTGGGAAATGATTTATAATGAATTGAAGAAAATGTTGAAATATACATTTACTAAGAAACCAGAAGCGTTTTTACTAGGTATTACAGGGAATGAGATAAACAAGAAAGAGAAGAAGTTACTTTTATACGCAGTGACTGCAGCAAGAATATTGATGGCCCAGAAATGGAAACAAGAGGAGCTGCCTACGATAGAAGATTGGAGAGCCAAAATGATGGACTATGCGGAATTGGACAGAATGACAGGAAGGATTCGGAATCGACGAGATCAAAGATTTACAGAAGATTGGGAGAAGTTTATTCAATATTTGCAAAAACTAAGTGATAACCAGATTACGTTTGTAAGTTTTAAGGAAGCTCTGTGATGTGAAAATCTAATAATAAGTATAAACAATGAAATTGAAGCTACCAGAATAAATAACAATAAGTAGGATTGTGTTAAAAGTTATAAAATGAAGGAAGTTCAGACAAATTGAGGGAAGTCAAAAAAATTGAATTAAGAGGTAATTAAGAAGTTTGAATGTACAACTTTGTTTTCTTTTTTTGTATTTGTAAACCAATAAAAATATAATTTAAAAAAAAATAGAAAGTTCTTCCTGATGTTTAGTCAGAATCTCCTTGTTCCCTCTTCCACGTGACAGTCCTTTAGATATTTGAAGATGACAATATACTTCTGTTGATGCAGCCTTGAACAGCAGTAGGTTTTCCCCGTGCTGCACCACACTGTGGACTCGTGTTCAGCTTGTGGTCTAAGACTCCTAGATCCTTTTCACATGTACTACTGGCAAGCCAGCTATTCCCCATCTTATATTTGTGCAGCTGGTTCTTCTTGGCTAAGTACAGAACCTTACATTTGTCCCTACTGAAATTGATTTTGTTAGTTTGGGTCCAGTTCTCCAATCTGGTTTTCTGTGGCATTGGCTACCCCTCCCACTTTGCTATCATCTGCAGATTTGATTAAAGGTAAAGGTAATCCCCTCAATTCCTCAGTCCAGGTCCTTTATAAAGATGTTGAACTACAACGGCTTCAGGACAAAACTCTGTGGCACCCCACTAGTCGCTTTTTTCCAGCACTCTTTGGATTTGGTCAATCAAGAAGCTACAAATCCACCTAACAGTTACATTGCCCAGCCCACATTTTACCCTATACAGTATCATAAAAACGTCTCTGCTGTTTGCCCTTCGTAATAGGAATTTAATGGTCTTAGATATATGGTAATGTTCATAAGTGTACCAACCAAGCACATACATAGATCAGCACAGGAAGGCCAACCTGGAACCATTTTGATTCCTAAACTGACTCTCTGTAAGGTCAAAATGGAAAAGCCTCCCCATTGTCTTTTCTTTCACAAATCCTGTCTGTGTTTGAATAGGGTGTGAGCCTGAGACCTGGCCCAGGAACTAAGTCTTTATCACTACAAAAGACTAGCCAGGCTACCCAGGAAATCCAATCAAGTAACCTGCCAGACAGGAGATAAACAAGGACAAGAGATAAACAACATTTAAAATTCTGTTTAGACCGCCTTTTCTGTGATGTAGGTATGATGTATCTGAGGGGTGGTCTTAGGTTACACCCCTTCTGTGATGTATGTATGATGTTTCTGGGGGTGATCTTGATCTACAGGGGGGCAATTTCAAAAGTCTTTATAAGGCCTTGCACACCATTTTTCTGGGTCCTCCTCCTTTCCTGCGTGTGAGGGGAGCACCCTGTTGCAACAGATCAATAAAGATCAAGCCTACAGGCTACTTTGCTTCTCAATATTTTCTGGTTGGCCTCTGTTATTCTCTCCTACCAATAGGGAACCTATGTAAGGACTCTATATGGGCTCTTGGATACCCCATAAGGGAAAAGGGCAATTTTTGTTTACAACACCTTCCAAAGGAAACACAAACCCTGGGTAAGCTCCTGGAACCTCGTATCACACAGTGGTGTCCAGCAGATTTGAATCATTCGCCTTTAGATTTCATAGCCAAGTAGGATTATATAGTTTAATTTAAAGTTTAATTATGGATGTGTGAAAAGCTGGTTTGAGACCTTATTGGATTATTTGGATTACAATCTGATTTTGATGGGGGACATGAATGGAGTAGTATCTACAAACATGGATAAGGCACAAAGACAGGTAGTTACCAAGGATGGTAGACTACCGAAAACATTTTTTGAGATGATAGACAATTTTGATTTAGTGGACACATGGAGAACAAAGAACCCCTTGGGACTAGAATTGACCAAATATGGGTAACTAGAGGAATGGCACCAAAGATAAAGAAAGTGGAAATCTGCCCAAAAACCTGCTCCGACCATAATGCGGTAAGGATGGAGTTGAAACTAACATCAACTGGCTCCTTCAGATGGAGGATGAATGACACCCTATTTAGAGATGAAGAAGTGTATAAAAAGGCCCAAAAACCTTGAGAGACTATTTTGAAATAAATATGAATACTAATGTAGAAAAAAGAGTAATCTGGGACGCAAGTAAAGCTGTCATGAGAGGGTTTCTGATACAACAGAATGCAATAAAGAAGAGAAGTCAAAATGAGAAGAAAGATAAAATTTTGGGGAAAATAAAAGAAAGTGAAAAGAAATTGAGAGCAAAACCAAAGTCGCAGGAGATTTTGAGAGAAATAAAGTTATATCAAGTACAATATATGGAAATGATGAATCAGGAAATAGAATGGAAAATTAAACAAATGAGACAAAAACATTTGAATCAGCTAACAAATGTGGGAAATTGCTGGCCTGGCAAATGAAAAAAAGACAAAAATTAAATACTATTACAAATTTAGAAGTGGAAGGAAAGAATATACATAACCCAACTGAGATTAGAAACTGTTTCCAGAGGTATTTTAAACAACTATATACACAAGGGCCACAGAAAGAAATGGATATAGACCAATTTCTGAAGACAAATGGATTACAAAAATATCCCAAGAAAGTAAATTAATGTTGAACTATAAAATATCTGAACAGGAAGTAGAAGGTGCCATTCAAAACATGCAATTAGGCAAATCTCCAGGACCGGATGGGCTGACTTCTAGATATTATAGATCTTTGAAAGAGTGGCTATTACAACCTTTAAAGGAAGTCTGCAATGAAATATTGGAAGGGAAAAGGGCACCAGAGTCTTGGAAAGAGGCGTACATTACACTTATACCGAAGACAGAGACTGAAAAGACTCAGCTTAAGAACTACCGCCCCATATCGTTACTTAATGTGGATTACAAAATTTTTGCAGACATTTTGGCCAAGAGATTGAAAAAGTATTGATGGAAGAGATTCATAAAGACCAAGCGGGCTTTCTCCCGGGAAGACACTTGTCCGATAATTTGAGGAATATAATTGATATTTTGGAAAAACTAGAAGTGAACATAAATACTAAAGCAGTTTTGATATTTGTGGACGCGGAGAAAGCTTTTGATAATATCTCTTGGAGTTTTATGAAGAAGAACCTACAGGGGATGGGGGTAGGCCAAGGTTTTGAAAACGGTATAAGTGCAATTTATTCAGAACAAAAGGCTAAACTAATTGTAAATAATGTGGTGACGGAAGAATTTAGGATAGAAAAAGGGACAAGACAAGGTTGCCCAATTTCCCCATTGCTTTTTATATCGGTCCTGGAGGTTCTGCTGAACATGATTAGAAGGGACCGGTTGGTTAAAGGTATACAGGTCGGAGCCAAACAGTACAAATTGAGAGCATTTGCAGATGACTTAGTATTGACGTTACAGGAGCCAGAATCTAGTACCAAAAGAGTTTTAGAACTGATTCAAGAATTTGGTCAAGTTGCAGGATTTAAGTTGAATAAGTTAAAGACCAAGGTTTTAGAGAAAAATTTAACACCAATGGAGAGAGAGAGGTTTCAGAATGAGACAGGTTTAACAGTGGTTAAGAAAGTTAAATACTTGGGGATTAACATGACAGCAAAAATGGGAATTTATTTAAAGACAACTATGAAAAATGCTGGGCTGAAGTGAAAAAGATTTAGAAATTTGGTCAAATTTGAAGCTTTCACTGCTGGGCCGTATTGCTGCGGTAAAAATGAATGTATTGCCTAGAATGTTGTTTCTGTTTCAAACACTGCAAATTGTGGACAAAATGGACTGTTTCAAGAGGTGGCAGAGAGATATTTCTAAATTTGTCTGGCAGGGCAAGAAGCCTAGAATAAAATTTAAAATATTAACAGATGCAAAGGAAAGAGGTGGATTTGCCCTGCCAGACTTTAAACTTTACTATGAATCAGCAGCTTTTTGCTGGTTGAAAGAATGGTTGCTTCTTGAAAACACTGACATTTTGGATCTAGAAGGTTTCAACAATGTATTTGGATGGCATGCATATCTGTGGTATGATAAGGTCAAAGCACATAAAGCATTTAAAAATCACATTGTCAGGAAAGCATTGTTTAATGTCTGGATAAGATACAAGGACTTATTGGAAAATAAAACTCCAAGGTGGCTGTCACCGATGGAAGCAAAAGCTCTGAAAAAGCTCAATATGGAGGCCAAATGGCCGAAATATTGGGAAATTTTGGAACAAGACGGAGATAGACTGAAATTGCAGAGTTTTGAAAAATTAAAAAACAAAGTGCGAGATTGGCTTCATTATTATCAGATAATGGAGGCATATAATTTGGATAAGAAAATTGGTTTCCAGGTGGAAAAATCAAAATTAGAAACAGAACTATTAGAACCCAAAACTAAGATTTTGTCAAAGATGTATAACTTGCTGTTGAAATGGAATACTCAGGATGAAACGGTGAAATCTGCTATGATTAAATGGGCACAAGATGTTGGACATAACATAATGATGGCTGACTGGGAACAGTTATGGACCACAGGTATGAAGTTTACGGCATGTAATGCCTTAAGAGAGAATATTATGAAAATGATATACAGGTGGTACATGACCCCAGTCAAGCTTGCAAAAATTTATCATTTGCCCGATAACAAATGTTGGAAATGTAAAGAAACTGAAGGTACATTCTTTCACCTTTGGTGGACGTGCCCAAGGATTAAGGCTTTCTGGGAAATGATATATAATGAACTGAAAAAGGTATTTAAATATACCTTCTTGAAGAAACCAGAGGCCTTTCTCCTAGGCATAGTCGGTCAATTGGTGCCAAAGAAAGATAGAACTTTTTTCATGTATGCCACAACAGCAGCAAGAATACTCATTGCAAAGTATTGGAAGACACAAGATTTACCCACTCTGGAAGAATGGCAGATGAAGTTGATGGACTATATGGAACTGGCAGAAATGACTGGCAGAATCCGAGACCAGGGAGAAGAGTCGGTGGAAGAAGATTGGAAGAAGTTCAAAGATTATCTACAGAAATATTGTAAAATTAATGAATGTTAGAACGATGTTGGATAGAAATTAAGTGGTTTCTAGCTGTAATGCTTTAAGGGAATATGAAAAAGGGGTTGTTAAGAGGTAAAAATCTAACGTTACTATTTTAAGACCAAAGAATAGGATAAATAAAGAGGGTAAGGATTTGCTGAACCAACAAACTGAACTGGAATACAAAAAAGGGAGGTATGAGGAGGTCCGGGAAACAAGCTAAAGAAAAATAAGCAATGGAAAATCTGAGTGTTTTTAATCATTTTTATTTTGTTTTTTTTCCCTTTTTCATTTTGTATTGTAATATTTTTTAAAAAAATCCTAATAAATATCTTATTAAAAAGAAAAGAAAAGCTGGTTTGGCACCATTTCTAAAACTCCCCAAAGCTACTGGCTTTATCGTTAAGGCCTTGGTATAGTACAGGTAAGTGACGGCAGCGGTTGGAGGAATCAGTAGTTTGGATAAAAGCTGGTTCTCCCCATATAAGACGACAGAGGAGTGGAGTGTCTCTCCACATTTGGTGGGGTTCTGAAGAGCGGGGTTGGGGGAACCTGTGACCCACCAGCTGTTGCTGGATTGCCGCTGTCCTTCCTACTTGTGAGTGACCACTGGAGATGCTGGAGGTGCGGGTGCAATAGGCTTGCCACCCCCTGCAGACACTATTATTTCAGCCTTGCTCTGACCTCCCACCTTCTAGAGTACTTTGCAGTGCTATGTTGTGATCCATTTTTCTCTCTCCAAGTCTCAGACCTCCAACCTGGAATATGAGGATAACTTTGTTGCTATGTTACGTATTCCGTGTTTTTATATCGTAAACTGCTTTGTGATCTTCCGATGAAGGGGTGGTATGTAAATTTAATAGATAAAAATAAAACAATAGCTACACAGCGGGTGGAATTTGCGGAGGGCCATCTTTCAAAAAGTATGTTTAGGGACGAAAAACTTAAGCCCCCAAATGGAAAATGAGCGAGGTCCCAAGGAAAGAAGAATAGCAACTTAAGCTGATGGAATATGCACAGCTTGCAGACTTAACACATAGAATAAAGAAGACCGGAAAATGTTGGACTATATGGGGGGAATTATGTACACCTGGAAATGTTGGCAGCATTAAGATAAATTCAACAGTGTAAATAAGTTTTGATGGAGGTAATAATGGAATACTGAATGGTATAGTTTATATAAAATATGCAGGGATTTATGATATGCAAAATGAACCATGATATCTTAAGGATGTTTAAATGAATATTCTAAATTGTAAAACAGAAAATTGAATAAAAATGATATATTAAAAAAAGAAACCCCAAACTTAAATGTTTGACCACAAAATGAAAACTGATCTCGGAAGAGCTGGAACTTCTCTGTTAACTGGGGTGTGGATGTAGATCCCTGGATTGATTTCTTCCGAGTTCTGCCCTGGGAGACATTGAAACCAACGAAGGGGCGGGAGAAGGCTCCTCCATGACACACCCGGAAGCGGCCGATCCAGTCCGCGCGTCTCCTCTACCCTCCGCAGCTCTCGGGTTTGTCCTTCGCGCACGTGACTCGGCGGGTGGAAGCGGGGCGCAGGCGCAGAAGGGGCAGCGTCTCCGGCCGCGGCTGCCGAGCGAGAGCGCCTGGTCTCTCTCTCTCTCTCTGTCTCTCTCTATATATATGGGGGAGAGAAGATGGCTCCCTTCCCTGAGGAGGTGGATGTTTTCACGGCCCCGCACTGGCGGATGAAGCAGCTCGTCGGGCTTTATTGTGACAAGGTAGGAGGCGGGAGGGGGAGGTTTCTGAGGGGGCGACGCGCCGGGCGCAGCCGTGAGGGGGGGGCGAGGTGGTCGCGCGCCCCTCGTTACGTGAGGCGCCGAGACACGCCCCTCGGCCCCCTCGGGCCTCGCTCGGCCGGCGCTCGTTTGCTGCGTGAGAGGGGATGCGCGCGCAGCCTCGGGGGAGCCGGAGGAGAGAGGGGCGCCTGCGCAGCTGCCGCCGCCTGGCGCGCGCCGTGACTCCTCTCGGCCACCGTCGTCCGCACAGTTGTTTTCACAGCCCCCCCCCCGCAGCGCCGCCTTCCTCCGCTTGCAGGTTTCCCCTCTTTCTTCCCCGGTTTTTCTGCGCTTGGTTGCGAACCCCTTTCCCTGGCAGGGCTCTGTCGCCGGCTGCGCTTCCTTCCCGATATTAGCGGAGACGTGACGCAGCTTCTTCGCTGGTGGTGGGGTTTTGTATCTCGGATGAGGCCTTCTCGCCACACGTGTGCACGCACGCACACACGTGTGTTCCTGGCTTAAGAATCTTTTCCAAAGGCAGCCCGCCCCCCCGAACGAAGCGCGGCCAAAGTGCCTTAGGCGCCGACTTTCCCTCCTCCACTGCGATTCCCAGCTATGCTGCTACATGAAGGCAGAAACTCTGTAGAAGACATTATTGGACTTTTGATGACATGAACCATGCGTGTCGAATATGGACAAAGAAAAGCTCGTTCAGAAATCCAAATGTCAAAAAACATAGGTGGTTGGCATCCCTCTGTGCGCCTCCGGGGTTGAACTCTCCTAGAGTTACAGTGCCTGCTGTGACTGTAGAGACATTGGCATTTCTTTTCTCTGTGCTTCTCCCAGCAGTCCTTCCTCCTCCGGTCACTGCTGTGGATGAACAAGGATTCCCACATGATGAGGTTAATGTTTCCAGCCTTCATGTCACATTTGCAATGCAGAGTTGGTGTCTCAGCAGGCGCAACTTAAAGGCAGATTTTTCTCTCCCTGTATCATTTTAGAGTGCATGTTCCTTGAGGCAGGTGTCTTTGCTTTTTAAGTTGGCAGCTTAACAAGTAAAGGAGAGCAAGGAAATGCAGAGATCGCAGGGGCCCAAGATAATGGATTGCTCAATGTATTTTGGTTATTACAGCTTCCTGATGGCATGTTTGGCTTGACCCAGTCAGTTTAGCCAATGATCAGGGGTTATGGGAGTTGTAATCCCAACAAGCTTTAAAAGCTCAAGGTTGAAGCAAGGTGGTCTAGCACACTCTGTAAAATAGGCAGTCCCACACTGTGAATGGGGAACATAACTGATTTACCTGGCAGCTGCGCACCCCTCTTCGCTCAAAAGTAATTTGCAACTACAGTGGTACCAGAGCTCCGTTCGCATCTAGAAGCAAACGTAACTAGCGACGGCACATCTGCGCAGGCACGCGTCGCTTTTGGGCATGCGCGTGACGTCATTTTGACAGTCTGCGCATGCGCAAGCGGCCAAACCCGGAAGTAACGCACTCCGTTACTTCCAGGTTGCCATGGAGCACAACTCGAACGCGCTCAACCCGAGGTATGACTATACAATTTTTGTTAGCAGTTTTTTCCACATAGCAATGCAGATTTTGATTATTGAGTGTGTTCATGTGCCTTTATTTCAAGTTGCCAGTAAAGAATAACTTAAAACAATATAAACTGTAGGTTTCAGGTGGGTACTATCAAACTGTAGGGCAGGGCACATTCCAGGCTTGCAAGACTTAGTTTTTCACTAGATTCCTAAGGCCTAGTAAGTGGAGAGAGGTACAAAATACAGGTACTTAAAATTAAATCTCAGTCCGTGAGTGGTTTTTTTGAACCAGAACTGAATTGAACTCACACACCTTTTTTGAACCAGAACTGAATTGAACTCACACACCAATACACAAATATCCATTTCTGTGTACGCCTCTTCTCCACCCTTCTTCATGTCAGTAGCATAATTGTTGCCAATGTTAATTATCTGGGAGTAAGAAAGACTTGATCTATTTCAGGTCACTCCCACATGTACAGGTATATCCTGATCTACCTCCCCACACCCTGCCCCTGCTCTACTACAGGAAAGCCATTGTAGAAAAGAGCAGCTCAGGGTAAACATTATTTGCAATTAATTTTTTTTTTCAGGTGAGGGGCCATTTTACTTGGCCATATGAATGTCAAATACACAGAATTTACTGAATATGATCACATGTAGTGTATGTTGCTATAGTACAGCTCTCAACCCCCAGAGCCCACTTGAGATGACTGAAAAATATTGAGGCCCAACAAGATGGTGGTGCAGGGCAAATGGTGGCAGATGGAAGCGAGGTTTAACAAAATCAACATGCAGTTATGGACATCATTTCCCACTGATATTTAATCCAACTTTTGCATTTGCTTTTTTTGTCACATTTCCTTGTGGCAAGAAGTTCCATAGATCAGCTTTTCTCAGGCTAAGTACAGACATTTTCTCTGAAGGGACTGTGACTCAGCCTCTGTGTTTTAGGTAGAACTTCCTGATCCAGAAGCTTCTAGCAGAAACATTTTCTTCAGCCATAGGCGTCACTGTCAAAATATTATGATACTGTAGTTAGAAGTTAACATGGTGTACTGGTCATATTTACACTATTATTTTGGTATTATATGAAAAGTGTCTGTGGGAAACTTGATCTAAATTAGTGGTTTAAATTTGCCTCCCCCCCCCCTTGGTGTTTTAAATCACCACCTTGCCCCTGCACTATCCTCTTAAGTTATGTCGTTTGTTGCTGCCAGTACTAAGGTCACTATCAATGTGGGTTGATATTTTCCTTTGTTTTCCTTTGAGTCATTTGATGGAATATGGGAGTGGAAAGAAGAGAGGAGGAGGAGGTCCTCTGAAATTCTTAGTCTTTAATTAGTGCCTTTGCGGGGCTTACACAGTTATGTCAGAACATGCTACATAATCTCTGCAATAAACCTTTGACCTTAATTGTGTTGTTTGCAATTTGCGAAAGGATTTCTCTCTCTTCTTTTTCTCCCTCACCCAGTGTGGGTGCCATTTGAGAAACAAGAGTGCTGGATACTAGTGGCAGAGTTGGCATTGATCCCTACTTTGGGGGTCCCAAGGCGGGAAGAAGTCTTTGTTGTCTGGCCAGATGTTCCTGGTCTGGGTGATGAGGTTTGCCTGGATGTTGCCTCTGTGGTTGTTCTGGGGCTTGTCCTTTGACTCTGGTTGGGAACACTGATACCTCAGAATAGACCATAGTCACATATTTCTAGTGTAGAAGGATGGTTGCCAACTTATTGTAAAAGAGCATCATCCTGGGCTATACTCCTGAGTGTAGGAACTGAATTCCTTGAACTTCTTTTTCAAGACATTTCATTTTCTGCCTTCATTGGTGCTAACATTATAGCCTCACTGGCACATCTTAGAGAGTGAGCTGAATGTGGTATCTTTCCTAAGCTAATGATTGAGTCTGTCCTGGATGTGTGGCGATGCCTAGAGAGGGATGAAGCATCCAGCCTCATCTGTTCCAGTATTCTGTCCTTGTATTGTGGGATGACCTCTGTTGAGAGTCAAAGGATGCCAGAGACTGGATATCCCAAGACACTTCATCTGTTGTGGAGAGTGTCTGTGACAAAATGAATTTGCAGTCCATAGTTGAGGGTCACTGATGGTTCCTTCAGCCTAGTGGGAGTAGTGTGTGTGTGTATGTATGAAAAGTCTCTGAACCTCAGCACTGAACGACAGCACAACCCTAAAAGCACTTTAAAAGCTTGTGCTCTTACCAGATTTATGAGCAAAACCTTTTTTTCTATAATTACAACAAAAATAATGTTAATAATAATAATAATAAATTTATTTATACCCCGCCGATCTGGCTGGGTTTCCCCAGCCACTCTGGGCGGCTTCCAACAAAATATTAAAATACAATAGTCTGTTAAACATTAAAAGCTTGCCTAAACAAGACTGCCTTCAGATGTCTTCTAAAAGTCTGGTAGTTGTTTTTCTCTTTGACATCTGGTGGGAGGGCGTTCCACAGGGCGGGTGCCACTACCGAGAAAGCCCTTTACATTTACTACTGAAGTTAAAACTGAGGTTTTGCTATATTTGCCATATGTTAAAATAACTTTCCAGGACTTTTTACCTGTAGTAATAATGTGTTGTCAGGCAGGTTTTGTTTTGTTCTTAATCAGAGTTAGAAACACCTGTGGTGGGGAGGGGAAACACATTTGACCAGGAGAGTGGGATGGTGTCAAATACCTTTTTAGAGGATAACATGATTTACGGAGTATTAGCCCAGAAAAAACTGATCATTTTTGTTTCTTCCCATCAGCTTTCTAAGACCAACTTCTCCAACAACAATGACTTCCGGGCTCTCCTCCAATCCCTATATGCTACTTTTAAGGAATTCAAAATGCATGAACAAATTGAAAATGAATACATAATTGGATTACTTCAGCAACGCAGCCGGACTGTGTATAATGTACACTCAGACAATAAACTCTCAGAAATGCTTAGCCTCTTTGAGAAAGGGTTGAAGAATGTGAAGGTGAGCTTTCAGAAAGAAGAGTGTTTGGTTTCTGGGTGGTACAATGCAAAATCACATTTCTGAGATCATGTGTGAATTTGTGCAATCTCAGCGTAGTTCTGGTGCCACAAGGCTGGTTGTATATATGCTTGCTTAGAAAGAAGCCATGCTATGCTTAGTGGGGCTTATTTCTTGTAAGTGTGCTTTAGAATTTCCAGCTTAGTCATAACTTTATTGTGCATCCTTGACTCCTCCATGTAGAAGGGAAGCTCTCTAAAAATATGGTTTACTTCCTAGCAAGCAGCTGCTTTTTGTTGAGAACAGTTTGGGCGATGTCAGCAGCTGACACTTCTGGCAGTGTGACATGCCTGAATAACACACCTTATAAAACAGGAGTCACATGGGATGTGGATGCATAAGAACATCATAGCTTTAAGATTTGATGGGTGGGGAATCTTTTTCAGTTGGAGGGCTATGTTTCATCTTGACCACCCCTCTTGGGGGTCGTATGCCATTGGCAGGAGAGGCTAATTCTGGAGTATGTGATTAAAGTGTCCATGGGCACACCATGCGCTTTCTCCTCTGCACCACCAGAATGCACATATAGCACACTCCTCACACATGTATGTATGCAGATTCTTACTCTTTCTTCCCTCCACCACACTAGGGTGGAAAAATAGCTGCATGGAGGGGTGTGTGTGATCTTCATAGGTATTAGTTAGGAAGGGGAAGTTTAAGCCTTCCTTTCCTTGCTGTACTTTCTTTAAAGATAGCCAATTTTCCCAAGTGGCAGTTAGCATTGAAAACAGCCTTCCATTAGCACCAGTAGAAGGCTTTTTTCCTCAAGCCTTATTCTGGCATGAGGGATTCACAGCACAAAGAGGGCAAGCACTTCCCTCCCCAGATGCAAGCCCTGCCTGATTCTTCCCTTCCAAAATTAGACTTGAAAAGCCCCCCTAGGTTTTTTTTTTTGAAAAACCCTCAAACTTGTCTGGGAGGAGAAGGGGGTTCTGCAGACTGAATGGAGGGGCTGCATCTGACCCCTGGACTGCCAGTTTCTGACCCCTTTAAATGTATAGGTATATCAGAGAGACCCATGAGTTTATAGGCTTCTGACTCACTGTATGTTATCTTTACAAAGTGGCATATGTAGTTACTTTTCCATGCTTGTGACATGTCAGATGGTAATCCTTTTAATCTTTTCATTTGTTGAATTCTACTGGTACCACTGCTAGTTTTCAATGCCTGTTAAGTACTTAAATTATATAATGAAATACTCCCAAAATCTGGTCACCTACCAAGTTCTTTAAAATTAATCTTAAGCATCATCTGGGGAATTATTTCAAAATCTACCTTACTGTAATTAGACATCCTGACAACAAGTGTTTACATTTGCACTAAAATAATAGCATTTTAGAAATGAAATGCTAACATATTTTATATAAGTTGGTCTCTGGGCATCTGTTTTAAGACATCTGATGAAGAGGTGTGTTGTTTTTGATGGCTTGAACTTACTGTGGAAACTAACACAAACCAATTGGTATTTCAATATTGCTTCATATTTAATTTTAAGGATTTTAGAACTTAACAATTTCTAACAATTGATCGTAAGTGTTCAAATGGCACAAATGCTTAGTAATGGTATTTTTTATCATTCTCAGAATGAATATGAACAACTAAACTATGCGAAACAGCTAAAGGAGAGGCTTGAAGCTTTTACCAGGGATTTTCTTCCTCACATGAAAGAAGAGGAGGAGGTGAGCTGTACTAGGAAATGGTTTCTGGCCATTACGTTCGATTGTACCCAGTGAATGGATGGGAATTGGATGGTTAATTAAGCTTCAAAATGTGTCCAAGCAGGCTTTAGATGTGCTTTTTGAGCAGGAGGCATATTTACTTTGTGGCAAATGCTTGAAGCTTTAAGAGCAGTTGGTGGTATGCGGATTTTGCTATTCAAAGCAAATAAAAAAGGGGGGGGGAGCCTCATTGTATTATCCTAAGTAACTCTTTCGATTCTGACTGTAGTAGTCAAGAGCCTTTAGTCTTAGATTTGAGTGTCCTCCTCAAAAGACAAAACTGGTCTGCTGCCAAAAATGGCAAGCTCACGTCTGCTTCTCTCTTCCATTTTCTGCAAGGATATTTGGAGCACAGTGCCATCAGTATGTTGAGGACACACAGCTCTCTCTCTCCATTCTGTCACTTTTTTCCGGGAAAGGCTGTGAAGGTGGACCAGTGTCTGGAAGCCGTGATGGGATAGAGAGGGACTAATAAACTAAGGCGGAAATCTGATTAAGATGGAGGTGTTGTGGTCCAGTAGTTCCCGGGTCTAGGAATTGGATGTACAACCTGTTTTCAGTAGGGTTATACCCCACTGAATGAACAGGTTCATAGTCTGGTAGTACTCTTGGGTTCCAATTTGTCACTGGAGTCTCAAATAGCTTCCATGGCTGGGAGTTCCTATGCCCAGCCTAGGCTTGTTCATCAGCTTTTCCTGAATCAGGATAGCCTGCCTGGCCTCAGTTGTCCGTGCTCTGGTGACCTCACACCTGGGCTACTGTTATGTGCTCTATGTATAGCTGCCCTTGGAGACCGCAACTAGTGCAGAATGCAGTTGTTAGGTTGGTAAGTATGACAGCCCAATGGGACCAGTACCTGGATCACTACACAACTGTCATTGAGCTGCCAGACCCAGTTCAAGAATAGTTTGAGCATTTGTTGTTGTTGAGTCGTTTAGTCGTGTCCGACTCTTCATAACCCCATGGACCAGAGCACGCCAGGCACTTCTGTCTTCCACTGCCTCCCGCAGTTTGGTCAAACTCATGCTGGTAGCTTCGAGAACACTATCCAACCATCTCATCCTCTGTCGTCCCCTTCTCCTTGTGCCCTCCATCTTTCTCAGCATCAGGGTCTTTTCCAGGGAGTCTTCTCTTCTCATGAGGTGGCCAAAGTCTTGGAGCCTCAGCTTCATGATCTGTCCTTCCAGTGAGCACTCAGGGCTGATTTCCTTAAGAATGGAGAGGTTTGATCTTCTTGCAGTCCATGGGAGTCTCCTCCAGTGCCATAATTCAAAAGCATCAATTCTTCGGCTATCAGCCTTATTTATGGTCCAGCTTTCACTTCCAGTTTGAGCATACAGTGCCTTAAATGGCTTGGAACCCAATTACCTAAAAGAGCACCTTCCCCAGGCCATACAACCAGCAGGGGAGGCTCTGTTGGTGGTGTCTCCACTGGGGGTTGCCGAGTTAGCAGTGACCTGTGGCAGGGCCTTCACACATTGTAGGGGGTTGGACCAAATGACCCTTGGGTGCCTTCCAACTCTACAATTCTATGATTCTATGTCTCAATTTTTATGAGTTATTGTCTGTCCAGGTTCTAATCTGCAAAAGAACCTGCAGAGCTTGGTGATATATCAATACATAGTCTGAAACTGGTTGGAAGTTCAGATTGTGATAATGGCTTCAGAATTTTTGAGCTAGCAATATATTGCACATCTTCATTTGCTCCCTAGCTGCTGCCAGCAAAGCATATTTCACCCCTGGGCGCCCAGTGCTCGCTCGCTCCCTCTGTAGTCCAGTTGCTGGAATTGGCAGAGGGCGCCCAAGAACTTGGGCACCTGTCTGCCTACACCTTCGTTGGAGCAAGCGGGTTGCCTCATTTCTCCTGGTCGTGCTTCCTGCTTGCTCCCTCCCTCCTCAGTCCAGTCTCACCCATCCTTTTTCAGACATCATGATGTATTGCTATATTGCGATGGTTCGCTGGTGATATTTCATGTTAAAAACCAGATATTGCCCAGCCCTACTGCAGCTAATCCTATGTGTATCTTGTTTCTCATCCTTGTATGTGTATCATATGCATTTGATGATCTTAGACTGAGAAAGTTAAATGTAGTATTTCAAAAACAAGAGCAAGTTGGAACAATTGGGTTATTCAAAAAGTGACGTTTGTTGTGTATCTTAGGTTTTCCAGCCGATGTTGATGGAATATTTTACTTATGAGGAATTGAAGGACATAAAAAAGAAAGTAATTGCGCAACACTGCTCCCAGAAGGAAGCTGCAGCAGAAATACGTAAAGGTATTAGTCTCTGGAATCAAGCTGAGGAACTGCAGAAAGCTTTTAAATATTCTGTGGATGAAAAAGCAGATCAAGGTGAAGGTAACCTTTTATTTGTAGCAATCTTCTGAATTTCTCAGCTGGTTTTCTAGAAAATAATGTCACATAACTCCATGGCACTTAAAATTATGTTCTTGCAACTTGTAGAGCTTTTGATGTAGGTTACAGTTACTTTCGGTCTCTTTAGTGATCTTGTCTCTGTTATACTCATTGGTCAGTCTTACTCATCGAAACATTTTTCGTATCCTAAACTGCGCATTTTCACCCCAGACTAGCTTTCATTTTCTGAAGGTAGTTCTGAATAATAATAATAATAATAATAATAATAATAATAATTCTGCAGAGTAGAGTCCTGCAGGAAAATATCTGGGTTGCCAAAACAAGTAGCAGCAGTGCTTTGATGAGCTTGCTTGAAAATAGCAGCATTTATTTCCAAGTACATCTTTTACTTTGTGGTATAGAGATTAATAAGGAACACTTGCAGGATGGTAAGAAAAGGTTGGGAAATATTCTAAAATGGGTTGGTTATGTTTTTATTTTGAATTATGTCTATGGTGGTTTAATATTCTGATTTTATCCTGTGAACCACCCTGAGACCTGCAGGTATAGGGCTGTATATAAATTTAATAAAATAATAAAAATAAATAAAAACACAATGATTTTGTCCTGCATGCTTCTTTGGTTTTGGATGAAGTGGCTAATATGAAAGCCCATTAGATAAATGGCAACAAAGAAATCAAGACTTTAAAAAGTGATGGCTGAATTGACAATAGAGAGCTTGGGAAGTAACATTTAGGCTTCAGTCCAGGACAACTGAGTGTGCTTATGTTTGTTGGCTTTTCATTAGTTATACTTGTTTAATTGCTTAATGTTTGTGCAATTTAGTAGCAGTTGAGTTTGGGGTATTATTTATGTTTGTTATTCTTTTGGGAAAGGATGTCAACACTCAGTGCTGTGGCTCTGAGAAGGAGGTGTAAAAGTTGATGGGCTCTGCCCCTCTCCCCATTTATACATGCTGTCAGCTTTGCTTTTCTGCCACAGCTTCAGTGATGATTTTTTTATTGTAGATTCTAAACAGAACAATACTCTTCAAGCCACTGCCAAAATACTGAATGTATTCCCATATATTTCAGAAACCGAAGAAAAAGGGCAAACCACCAATATTGTTGATCTTCCTTCTGAGGTTGTGCTGACTATTTTTAGTTACCTTAGCCCTCAGGAGTTGTGTCGATGCAGTCAAGTAAATAGCAAATGGTCTCAGTTGGCTAAAACTGGATCTCTTTGGAAACATCTTTACCCCGTGCACTGGGCCAGAGGTAAGTGGCTGAAATTCCCGGCTCTTTAGAAGCTTAGATTACCATCCATTTATGTGTAAAAGAAAAGCCATTAAGGAAAAAGGTATATAATTTCTGAGATCAAGCACTGTAAATGTAAATTACTCTTTTTATGGCATATCTATATTATATGGCTAGTGTACACTTGTGAATAGCCCTACATTGACCCGTTACTGCTGATATACTACATACAAGACAGACAGAATTAATTAATTATGTTCAGTCTTAGTTACTTTAAATCACCAAGTTAAGACTGGGCTTAGAATTATTTATCTTGTATCTAACACATTTAGGGTGGCTAACTTGTGGCCCTCCAGCAGAAATTGTTGGATTCAACTTTCAGGGATGATGGGTGCTGTAGTCATACTATATCTGGAGGGCACCTGATTAGCCACACCTATATTACAAGATTCCTGCCCAGCTAGCAGTTTGAAAGCACGTCAAGTGCAAATAGATGAATAGGTACTGCTCTGGCGGGAAGCTTAACGGCGTTTCTGTGCACTGCTCTGGTTCATCAGAAGCAGCTTAGTCATGACCCGGAAGCTGTCTGTGGACAAACGCTGGCTCCCTCGGCCTATAGAACGAGATGAGTGTGCAACCCCCGAGTCGTCCGCGACTGGACCTAATGGTCAGGGGTACCTTTACTTTTACCTTTACCTATATTACAAGATAATATCACCAAAGCAACTATCTGTAAACAAACAATAAACATCCATAAAAATGGCAAAAGTAGTTTCCTTCTCAAATAGGTTTTATCATAAACAATTGCAAATGCAGTAAAGAGTGCAGTAAGGAGATTAAAATAAGTGTTTCAGTGCTCATTTCTTCTCTTTCCAAAATACAGTCGTACCTTGGAAGTCGAACGGAATCCATTCCGGAAGTCCGTTCAACTTCCAAAACGTTTGGAAACCAATGAGTGGCTTCTGATTGGCTGCAGGAAGCTCCTGGAGCCAATTGGAAGCCCCGTCAGACATTTGGCTTCCCAAAGAACGTTCACAAACCAGAACAGTCACTTCGGGATTGTGGCGTTCAGGCGCCAAAACATTTGGAAACTAAGCTATTCTAAAACCAAGGTACGACTAGATTTTATTTTGAACAACTGCAATTGCAGTAATAGAGTCCACTTGTGATTAAAATTAAAGAAAAATTAAGGATTTTTAATTTTAATTTTCCTTATTCTACTTGTTAATTCAGTGCAATTCTATTACAACTGATTTTGACACCTCGATGACTAAGCTGTAGCAATAAACGCCTGATTACGGGAACGACATCCGAGCACTGAACCGCAGGTATGTTCTGAAAAGGAAGGGCCCTTTTCAGAACAGGAGAGGGGAGATACAAATTCTACATGTGCTACTTTCCCAGTCTCCAAGGATTAAGGACAAGGAGAGCAACATGCATGTTCTTTGTAACACCATTGTGTTTTCTGCTGGCTGACACTTCTTAAAAGAGCCTACTCCTTCCTGATATGTGTGGGTAATTCAAAGGTTTCTGTAACATAATTAAATGCTTTCTTGTTGGCTACTTAGGAGACTGGTCCAGTGGCCCACCTGGTGATCTTGATACAGATCCTGATGAAGAATGGGTAAAAAACAGAAAAGATGAAAGCTGTGCTTTTCAGGAATGGGATGAAGATGCTGATATAGATGAGTCTGGTAAGTTAAGGGGTGAACTGTATATCTTCCCTTTACAGTTTTGTCTTGGGTCGTCTAGTGTGCAATGGAGCCCTGGGGTGCCTTGAATGATGGTCACAGGTGCCATGGGCGACACTGGCCTCTGTCCCTCTTTTCTTCCCTCTCTCCTCTGATGCCTTCTTGCGTTCCTGCCTCCCGAAGGATTGCACAGCTGTTGTAGCAGCCCTGGCTGCAAGCTTCCCAGGCAAATGGTGCCTCTGGGACTGGTCAGGGGTGGGGCTTCCCAGGTCCCTGAGGGGCAGTGGGAGGAGGCAGCTCTCTTTGGAGCGGAGGGGGGCAGCTCAGAAACCAGGGGCGGCAGCTGTGGCTGCCCAGAAGACTCCCAAGAGGAGAGAGGAGGCTAAGGGAACACTCCACAAGGGAGGGTGTTCGGAAAAGGGCGAGAGGCTGCCAGCTCTGCAGGGAAGGGGTGACATAACGGGGCTCCTGAGCTCCACAGGGGTGCCGCACAAAGTGTAGTTGGTCAAGGGAGCCAAAGCTTGAAAACCTCATCTAGAGTATGATACTTGCCAAGGATACCTTGAGAGCATGGCTGGTTTTTGCAGAGGAATAGGTCTGTGTGTCTGAGGGATGTAGACACTAGTCACCAAAAAAGCAAGTCACCCAACAGCAGGACACTTAAAGGGGCTATTCTTTGTTGATATTTATTAGTACTGCTGGTCTTTTTGACTGATGTTTAGAGTTAAGTAAGCATACTTCGAATCCCCGCGGCGGGGTGCGCTCCCGTCGTTCGGTCCCAGCGCCTGCCAACCTAGCAGTTCGAAAGCACCCCTGGGTGCAAGTAGATAAATAGGGACCGCTTACCAGCGGGAAGGTAAACGGCGTTCCGTGTGCTGCGCTGGCTTGCCAGATGCAGCTTGTCACGCTGGCCACGTGACCCGGAAGTGTCTCCGGACAGCGCTGGCTCCCGGCCTATAGAGTGAGATGAGCGCACAACCCTAGAGTCTGTCAAGACTGGCCCGTACGGACAGGGGTACCTTTATCTTTACCTTTTTAAGCATACTTGTACACTTGTACATCTATATAATCTTGATTGTCATATTTCTCATAGTCAGTGCTCCTTTTCTGTCGGTTGAGTTGTGCTTGACACTTTCGTTAGAACTACCATGCCCGTCAAATTTAAGGCATAGTTTCCTTGATGTTTTGGGGAAAGCTTGGTTTGTATGTACAGGTGAAACTCAAAAAATTAGAATATTGTGGAAAAGTTCATTTATTTCAGTAACTCAACTTAAAAGGTGAAACTAATATATGAGATAGACTCATGACATGCAAAGCGAGATATGTCAAGCCTTTATTTGTTGAAATTGTGATGATTATGGTGTACAGCTGATAACAACCCCAAATTAACAATCTCAGAAAATTAGAATATTGTGAAAAGGTGCAGTAGCTATTCAATCCATAACACCTGCAATGGGTTCCTGAGCCTTTAAATGGTCTCTCAGTCTGGTTCAGTAGGAAGTACAATCATGGGGAAGTTGTGCAGAAAGCCATCATTGAGACCCTCCAAAAGGAGGGAACGCCTCAAAAGGTAATCGCAGAAGAAGTTGGATGTTCCCAAAGGGCTGTATCGAAGCACATTGATGGAAAGTTACGCGAAAGGGAAAAGTGTGGAAGAAAAAGGTGCACAAGCAGCAGGGATGACCGCAGCCTGGCGAGGATTGTCAGGAAAAGACCATTCAGACTTTCACAAGGAGTGGACTGAGGCTGGAGTTAGTGCCATCACACACAGACGGATCCTGGAGATGGGCTTCAAATGTCGTATTCCTCTTGTCAAGCCCCTCCTGAACAAGAAACAACGTCAGAAGCGTCTTACCTGGGCTAAAGAAAAAAAGAACTGGTCTGTTGCTCAGTGGTCCCAAGTCCTCCTTTCTGATGAGAGCAACTTTTGCATCCCATTTGGAAACCAAGGACCCAGAGTTGGGAGGAAGAATTGGGAGGCACACAATGCCAGATGCTTGAAGTCCAGTGTGAAGTTTCCACAGTCTGTGTTGATTTGGGGAGCCATGTCATCAGCTGGTGTTGGTCCACTGTGCTTCATTAAGTCCAGGGTCAATGCAGCCATCAACCCGGAGATTTTGGAGCACTTCATGCTTCCTTCCACAGACGAGCTTTATGTGGATGCTGACTTCATTTTCCAGCAGGACTTGGCACCTGCCCATACTGCCAAAAGTACCAAAACCTGGTTCAGTGCCCATGGGATTACTGTGCTTGATTGGCCGGCAAACTCGCCTGACCTGAACCCCATAGAGAATCCATGGGGCATTGCCAAGAGAATCATAGAATCATAGAATCATAGAGTTGGAAGAAACCACAAGGGCCATCGAGTCCAACCCCCTGCCAAGCAGGAAACACCATCAGAGCACTCCTGACATATGGTTGTCAAGCCTCTGCTTAAAGACCTCCAAAGAAGGAGACTCCACCACACTCCTTGGCAGCAAATTCCAGTGTCGAACAGCTCTTACTGTCAGGAAGTTCTTCCTAATGTTTAGGTGGAATCTTCTTTCTTGTAGTTTGGATCCATTGCTCCGTGTCCGCTTCTCTGGAGCAGCAGAAAACAACCTTTCTCCCTCCTCTATGTGACATCCTTTTATATATTTAAACATGGCTATCATATCACCCCTTAACCTCCTCTTCTCCAGGCTAAACATGCCCAGCTCCCTTAGCCGTTCCTCATAAGGCACCGTTTCCAGGCCTTTGACCATTTTGGTTGCCCTCCTCTGGACGCGTTCCAGTTTGTCAATGTCCTTCTTGAACTGTGGTGCCCAGAACTGGACACAGTACTCCAGGTGAGGTCTGACCAGAGCAGAATACAGTGGCACTATTACTTCCCTTGATCTAGATGCTATACTCCTATTGATGCAGCCCAGAATTGCATTGGCTTTTTAGCTGCCGCGTCACACTGTTGGCTCATGTCAAGTTTGTGGTCAACCAAGACTCCTAGATCCTTTTCACATGTACTGCTCTCAAGCCAGGTGTCCCCCATCTTGTATTTGTGCCTCTCATTTTTTTGCCCAAGTGCAATACTTTACATTTCTCCCTGTTAAAATTCATCTTGTTTGTTTTGGCCCAGTTCTCTAATCTGTCAAGGTCGTTTTGAAGTGTGATCCTGTCCTCTGGGGTGTTAGCCACCCCTCCCAATTTGGTGTCATCTGCAAATTTGATCAGGATGCCCTTGAGTCCATCATCCAAGTCGTTGATAAAGATGTTGAATAAGACCGGGCCCAAGACAGAACCCTGTGGCACCCCACTAGTCACTCTTCTCCAGGATGAAGAGGAACCATTGATGAGCACCCTTTGGGTTCGGTCAGTCAGCCAGTTACAAATCCACTGAGTGGTAGCATAGTCAAGACCACATTTTACCAGAGAAAGATGAGAGACATGAGACCAAGCAATGCAGAAGAGCTGAAGGCTGCTATTGAAGCATCCTGGTCTTCCATAACACCTCAGCAGTGCCACAGGCTGATAGCATCCATGCCACGCCGCAGTGAGGCAGTAATTGATGCAAAAGGGGCCCAAACCAAGTACTGAGTACATATGCATGCTTCTATTTCTCAGAGGTCCAATATTGCTCTATTTGAAATCCTTGTTTTGCTGATTTCATTTAATATTCTAATTTTCTGAGATTGTTAATTTTGCGTTTTCATCAGCTGTACGCCATAATCATCACAATTATAACAAATAAAGGCTTGACATATTTCGCTTTGCATGTCATGAGTCTTATCTCATATATTAGTTTCACCTTTTAAGTTGAATTACTGAAATAAATGAACTTTTCCACGATATTCTAATTTTTTGAGTTTCACCTGTATATGGTAAGTTAGCGTCAGGATAGAAAACTACCGTATTTTTTGCCCCATAGGACGCACTGCCCTATAGGACGCACCTAGTTTTTTTTGGGGTGGGGGGAATAAAGAAAAAAAATATATTTCCCCCCCAGGCACGGGGCTGGCGCAGGGGAAGCCTGAGCTTCCCCCGACCCCAGCCCCCAGAACAGCACTGCTATCCGCAAGCCCAGGGAGCCGCGCCGATCTCCCCAGGCTTGCGGACAGCTGTGCGAAGCCCGGGCGCACTGAAGAGCGCGCCCGAGGCTTCGAAATGCAGGCAGCTGTGCGCAACCCTCCGGAGCCCGGTGCAAATCCGCACCGGGCTCCGGAGGGTTGCGCAGAGCTTCCTGAAGCCTGGAGAGAGAAAGCCTGTATACGCCCCATAGGACGCACCCACATTTCCCCTTTTGGATCCCCCTTTTGGAGGGGAAATGTGGGTCCTATAGGGCAAAAAATACGGTACTTTTGCTCAGTGTCAGATTAAGACTGTTGACACCATAACTACGGTAACTTTCATTGCTCTGAAGGCTGACCTCTTGTGGTGGTTGGCAAAACATGCAGGGAGATGCTCTGCATCTGGAATTTGTCCTTTTGACTAAAGTACTTAGGCTGCAGCTTTTATTATACTAATTAGCATTTGATATATAGATATTTTTAAAATTAATATATTTGCATACTTTGTATATATGACCATTTTTTATTCTTACATTTGTCCTTTGATCCCTTTTATAGAAGAAAATTCAGAAGAATCCTTGGCTATCAGCATTATTCAAAAAGAAAAGGACTTTCTTCAGGGCTTAATTCACCATGTTCTCCCACGTGTAGGCACCTCAGTGAAAACAATTGTGCTCGCATACAGCTCAGCCATATCTAACAAAATGGTACAGTATACATAATGAATACATCTGGGGAATCTGTAAAGAATAATAAGGGTGCTTAAGTGGGTGTTTTTCAATAAAATAATCTCTTTGTTGCTTTTCTGCCTGCTCTGTACTCAAGGTGGATTAACAGTATAAAGACAGCAATATTATCTCTGACACAATTTTTATTGCAACCATAAACTGATACTCCATTTTCTTTTAAACCTAGGTCAGACAGATCTTAGAACTGTGTCCTAACTTGGAGCATCTTGATCTCACTCAAACTGATATTTCTGATTCCGCATTTGAAAGGTTGGTAATCCTTTGGGGTGTCTGTTGCTTACTTTGCCATTGGTAAATTACCAACAGTATAGTAATTACTAGAGCCTTGATTGTGTGAACTATTTTTGGCAGGGAGAAATGTTAGTTTTGGAAGTTGTTACGTATCATACGCTACCTGCAGAATGAGGAAAAAGAGTTAGACAAGGGTTATTATTCTGTCTAAGACACTACATTCCATTGCTCCTGTCTCTGATAAAGTGTAAGTCTTTTGCTTCTGCGGCACATTGTTTCTGCAGAACAGACCAGCAATACTTAGGCATTTTGCTATTAATCCTTAACTGATTTCTTTTAGTATTTTATGCATTTAGGGTTGAACATTCATTGATCCGAATATGACTACTTTATCTGCAATAGCTTGAATATGCTGGTTGGGACAATAACGAAATATTGGTTAACAAATATGTTAATATTTGTTTCAGTTGGTCTTGGGTTGGTTGCTGCCAGAATCTCCGGCATCTTGATCTCTCTGGATGTGAGAGAATCACAGATGTGGCTGTAAAAAAGATTTCCAGAGCCTTGGGAGTTTTGTCACCCAATGAAGCAGGATCTCTGAAAAGTTGTCAAAACAGGAATGGAAAAACTGTGTGGAAAAACAAAGACATTGCCATGCAGGCCAGCAAAAAGAATTGTAGTTTGCATGATATTGCAAATGAAAATTTGATTAAAGGAGAAGGAAATGAAAGCCATTGGATTGCACCTGTCAGATCAGAGAGCTTTAACTCTGCCTATATCTGGATGTTAGATGCGGAAGATCTGGCAGATATTGAAGATGCTGCTGAGTGGAAACACAGAAATATTGAAGGAGTTTGTGTGGTAGAACCTTCATCAAATTTCACTTGTTCTGCAACATGCTGCAGCAAAGACATTTTTGGACTAAGGACTAGTATTTGCTGGCAGCAGCACTGTGCTCCTACTGCCTTGACCTACTGCGGTCACTCTTTCTGTTGTGCTGGGACAGCTTTAAGAACTATTCAGGCACTCCCAGGATCCTCTGCACTATCTAAACATGCACCAAGGACTAGTAAACAGTCAGAGGGGAAAGACTTTGCATACTTCAGGAGTGCAAAATCAGACCATGAGACAGCGCGAGTTCTTCAGTTCCTCAGTCTGTCAGGATGTTACCAGATAACAGACCACGGTCTTAGGTATGTAGCCTCTTTGAAACCCCTGCCAAAATCCATTAATGCCATTTAAAAAACAACACAAAATCATATTGTTATCTCATCATTACTTAGCCACTGAATCTGGTGGTAATGCATTGACGATTGGAGGTGGAGAAGTGCTTTGCCCAAAGCAGATGTGATTATTCCTCTCCTCCCTGCCTTTGAGTTCACATTCCTCTTTTTTGAATTTTTCTTTCTCTTAGACTACAATCCTCTGTAAAGTTTTCTCTTCCAAAATCCGGGGTGGGGAGCGGAGCTTTATTTTCTAAAAAAAACCCCAACCATACACTTTCTCCCTTCTGGTGTCTCCTTGCCCCCCCCCCCCCCTTAGGTATATCTGAAGACAATAAAAGAAAGCATGTTTGTCATTGGGAAGAAAGCTCCCAACCAAACACTGGATGCTAATCTCTCCCTACAACTCAGGATGACTTTAACTGCTCTTCCATCTCAACTGGATCTGGGCATTATCATGTTGCTGATATGTGCTCCCACTGGAGTTCCCATGACTACCATCTTCTATAATACATGAAACCAGTTTCTGGCTTGGAAATTGAAATAGCCTTTGGGATGGATGTGTGCGTCAACATTCACCAGACATTACAAGTTAGAACTACACATATAAACTCAAGCGGTCTTCAAAAGAAGGGTTTTCTAGAACAGGGGTCAGCAACCTTTTCCACTGTCTCTCAGACCATGTGGTGGGCCGGACTATATTTTGAAAAAAAGATATGAATGAATTCTTGTACCCCACAAATAACCCAGAGATGCATTTAAAATAAAAGGACACATTCTATTCATGTAAAAACATGCTGATTCCCAGACCGTCCGCAGGCTGGATTTAGAAGGCGAATAGGCCACATCTGGCCCCTGGGCCTTAGGTTGCCTACCCCTGTTCTAGAACAGCTTGCCACCAGTTTAGACAGCTACATTCGTTCTGCTGGGATTCACTGTTAGATGTAACATAGCATGGGAGACATCCACTTAGAGTATGTGCAAAAGCTAACTTGAGAAGGGAGCATTGGTTCATTTACCTTGAATAGGCTTTCTAGATTGGCATAGGAAGACATCCGCTGCCTTACCCCTGTCTCTAAATAACTGCTGTCTACTCTAACGCACTTCAAGCCTCATCAAGTTTCTTGATGCCAGGTTACTCCTTTTTTGTTATTACTATGGTCAATTTTTTTTGTGATCTAACTCTGATTTGTTTGCTTATTTACCTATCACTACTATGGAATCTCTGCTTTCCTCTAAGCTTGGTTACAGACAAAAGTCAAACGGGATCCTATATGACTGTAGTATCCCTACTTTACTCCATTGCCCATCTCTGTTCCTTGCATTTCATCCACTGTATTATCTATGGTAGGGCTGGGTGAACTTTCTTAGAAAGTTTTGTTTAAGTCTGAACAAACCATATATTCCAGCAGGGCCCTACACTAATAGTGGCAGTCTTGAATTCATTTTGCATGAAGCAGGGTAGTGTTTAATGAACTTTATGGCTGGTATAATGAAGGTCGAGGAAAGAAATGCTCAAATATCAAAAGTCCTGAGTGGTTCAAATATATATATATCATCTTGCTAAAGAAGCAGAATTCTCCTGCTACCTGTTTGGTTCCTGGCATGGTCTTAATGTGCCTTTATTTTCCACATTAGGATGCTGACTCTGGGAGGCGGGCTCCCTCATCTAGAACACCTCAATCTCTCCGGTTGTCTGACTGTAACCGGTGCAGGCCTGCAGGATTTGGTGTCTGTATGCCCTTCTCTGAATCATGAACACTTTTACTACTGTGATAACATTAACGGTAATGTCTTTTGAATAAAGTACCTTTTAAAAGCATTTATATTTAACCCTTGGAATGTTCAGAATTTGAAGCCACTTCCTTTCTGTAGTTGTAGGTCCTCTGAGTTACGTTAGCCTTTCATTGTTAAAAGTTTAGTGTGTCTATGAAGGCATAGATTTAAATATTACAAGTTCTTCTATACTGCCCGTTGTACCGTGTTAGCTGAAGAGAGCTAATTTTACCATTACTGAGGAAATTATCTGGCGGTTCAGAGGAAACTTACGTTAAATACCCTTTTGCCGATGAAGATTTGGATATCATCAGGCCTGTTGCGAATTTCGGTTTTATATCAGCGAGGACAAGACAGGCAATGGTGACAGTGATAGCCAGGGAATGAGTACTGATTATGATCTCTGGAATACAGATTTTAGCTGAAGGAGTGTTATTTTTAATGTAAATAAGTTTATAGGGAATTCTTAATTACATCTGCTTCTTTATGCGGTTGTGGCATATGTTGCTGTTGTTAACTTTGCTGTCTGGTGTTAGACCGCAATAAAGATTGATTGATTGATTGATTGATTGATACCATTCTAGACATAGAACAGGGAAGCATACTTGTGGTGGATCATTTAAAATCCCATTTCAGTGAAGTAACTGGCTCCACCTCTTGAAAGCTCTCATTTTGATATAAAGAGATTACATTAGGATTGAAAAAGTTTGAATCAATTGAAAGAATAATGTTAATATGGAGTGTTGTGTATCTTGAGCAGTGTTCAAAACTCCCATTGTTCTAGGCGCATTTTGTGACAGGGAATATCATTAGTGTGAGCAGTTTCCAAGCTCTGGGCACAGTACTGCGCCTAAGATTTCAGATTAAAACTGCAGAGTGGAAGGCAAGGAGGACCTTTTTCTGCCTCCCCACTTCCAGCTACTCCCTGAAGACTGGAGAAGAGACCCTCTTAAGAATATCAGGGGAGTGGGCAGGGGAATGACTAGACCTTGTGAAAAATGAACATAGTATTTCAGCTGCATTTCATTCATTTTCAGCTTTGGATTTTTGTTATAGGAAAGCACACCTAGACATTCTGTTGTTGTACCTGTAACTTGGATTAAGGTGCCATTTAGCTCCTAGCTTTCATATCTCATTCTAACACTGATCTTGAGCTCTTGAAAATGGATTGATTCTGTTTAACGTTTGCTGCTAACTTCCTAACTATTGAAATGCCTTTGTTTTAATATGACAAAAGTCATGGTAGTGTACAAGGTTGAAATCCTATTAAGCCTAGCCTAGACCTCCGTGTTCTGTGGGAATCTTGTTGGCACAGGTACTTTGACTGGTTTGTTTCACAGAAGAGGAGCTGTGATACTGGATTAGATATTGACATGAGACAACTCTCAAGCTAGTAGACCGCAACGTACCGTATTTTTTGCTCTATAAGACTCACTTTTTCCCTCCTAAAAAGTAAGGGGAAATGTGTGTGCGTCTTATGGAGTGAATGCAGGCTGCACAGCTATCCCAGAAGCAGAACAGCAAGAGGGATCCCTGCTTTCGCTGCGCAGCAATCCCTCTTGCTGTTCTGGCTTCTGAGATTCAGAATATTTTTTTTCCGTTTTCCTCCTCCAAAAACTAGGTGCGTCTTGTGGTCCGGTGCGTCTTATAGAGCGAAAAATACGGTAATTTCCCCCTCCCAGGTCTGCCTCAGATAAGATTATTGGAACAAACTCTGAATCATCCTATTACTTCTGAACGTTTCACAAGGCTGTATCCGTATCTCTTCCAGTCGTGTTAGCTTTGTGCTCCTCTTTGAAGTTTCTCACAGCATAAATGGAGTTCTCTTTTTTTAATAATTTGTCCTTAGTGAACAGTGGATGCATGAATGGTTTGTCTTAAGGTAGCTATTGGAGGCTGCATTTTAGGTTGTATTTTAATCCTGTTTTTATACCTGATGTTAGCCGCCCTGAGCCCAGTCTTGGTTGGGGAGGGCGGGGTATAAATAAAATTTATTATTATTATTATTAATTAATGAGTAAAAGGAGTTTGGGGCCAGTTGAAATTAGCCTAAGGAGCAGACTTACACCAACCCTTTCAGTAACAACAACAACAAATCCTCATTGCACAGTTTCTTACCTCCCAAAAGATTATGCTGTTTGGCTGTTTCAGGAAAATAAGACTAATTTGTCCTAACTGGCTCAGTTGGAAACATCTTTTGTTAGCTTATCTGCTATTGAGAGTGGCTTGCCCAGGTTTTGTTTTATTTTGTTCCTCTTGCATGGTACAACAGCGCATTTTGCCTTGCCGACAACCTAAAAGTCTAATTTAACGTGTGTAAGTGACCAAATGTCAGCCACTGAAAAATATTTCACCTTGGCTAATGTTTGAATAAACTGTAACTATTTTGCTGGCATCATCTTTAAGAGTAGATTGTGAAGAACTGCTATAATGGATAGCTCTTAACATAATATCTCTTCTCAAAATGTAAGTACTGGATGGTTCATGCCTTAACAAACATTTCCTTGTTTGGATGCTGTTTCCCTTTGGGATGGGTATATGGGTTTGTTCACTTTTAAGGAGGGGTCATAAGTGCTAAAGCCCTTCAGTGCCTTTAGGCTAGGCAACTATGGTATTCAATTCCAGCTATGCCTTGCCCTTCATTTTTGAAAAGCCCATATATGCTGCAGCTTCTCACCTTGCTGTATAAATAAATAAAGCGCCACACTGACTGCATACCTCCCTTATTTTATCTGATGGTGTGTGCTCATGCTGCACTTACGACAAGGAAAAGCAGATTCTGCTGGGGAAGAAATAATGCTATGATATCCAAATTTGCTTTGATAAGGACGAATAAGGCTGTGCTGTGGGTGTGATGCTCTTCTCAAGAGTGCAGAACAAGGTGATGGCAAAATGGGGGGGGGGGACCTCTCTTAGCTGTGTGTTGGAACCCAGAGGTCATCATATGTACTTGATCTTCTGGGAAATCTGTTTCATTATTAGAAAGTAAGTTCATAAACGAGCGCCAAGTTGTTGGATACAACAGGAAGTAAGTTGGTGAATGTGGTAGTGCACAGAAAGTTGAAAGATAATTAACAGATTTATTCAAGTTAAATGGGTGGCACTGTGGTGTAAATCACTGAGCCTTGGGCTTGCCGGTCGGAAGGTCGGCGGTTCGAATCCCCGCAACGGGGTGAGCTCCCGTTGTTCAATCCCAGCTCCTGCCCCCCTAGCGGTTCAAAAGCACGTCAAGTGCAAGTAGATAAATAGGTAGCACTCCGGCGGGAAGGTAAACGGCGTTTCCGTGCGCTGCTCTGGTTCGCCAGAAGGGGCTTAGTCATGCTGGCCACATGACCCGAAAAAACTGTCTGAGGACAAATGCTGGCTCCCTCGGCCAGTAAAGCGAGATGAGTGCTGCAACCCCAAAGTCGTCTGCGACTGGACTTAACTGTCAGGGGTCCTTTACCTTTCCCTTCCTTTCCCTTTACCCTAGTTTCAGTACTAATGGTGACAGTACCTTCTGAAAGAATTTTTCTATACTTATTCCAAGTTGTTAAATTTCTGTAAAGCTATAATAACACCAACTGCTAGTGCCCTACTACTCTCTGGCCCTTTAGTGGAAGATGTTAGACTTGACGGGTGACAGGAACAGGTCTTCCTTGGTCACACATTTTTTGAATGCCCTACCCCCAGATAGTACAATACGCGCTGTCATTGTTGACTTTTAAACAAGCTTTTGTTATTTATAGTTTGACCTGAGTTAACCAATTGCTATGTTTTATTATTACAGCTCACTTGAAGAGAGATGTGATATGGTTTTAATATGATGGTCTTATATAGTGCACTGTTGTGAATCTTGGTGTGCTGCCTTGTGACGGCAAGGTGCCTGAAAAGCAGTTTAAACATTTGCAAATAAATAAAACAATTCCAGCTCTATAGTGTAGGGCTTTTGCATTCTCATAGTGAAAATGTGAAGCTAACTAGCCGAACTGATGAGCTTCATAATACACCCTTTAAATTAGGTACTGCCAAACAGATGTCATCCTTTTCTGTGAAGTGTTAACATTTCCCCCTCCCAAAGTAAAAGGCTTGCTAAATGGCTTTTTTCTTTTTTGAAATATGGAGATAATGATAACATTCCAAAAAAATATATATCTGTAACACTACCTTCTTACCTGTCTATATTCTTGCTGACAAGGTGTAAGTGCCAAAAAAAATCACTCTCCTGATGGATGTGTTCTGTAAGTTGAGAGTGACTAATTGGATACTACTCTTAATTACATGAATCAAAAACAGGAACCAGTATCTCCTAGAAAGTTTTTTATAGTATACTTCAACAAAGTGTTTGGTGCAGGAGATTTCTTCTTTATTTCAATTTATTCATTCTAAAATTTCCTGTTTATTACTAAAGTGGTGATAAAACCATTCCTTAATAGAAAATATTCTGTTAAGCATACTTCCATCTTTTGACCTCTGAATTGTAACAGCTTCACAAAACAACCCTTAACTTCATTCCTTTAGCTAAATTGTCATTATGTTTAAATGGGGGGACTTATTTTTTTCTGTCACTTTCTTGTTAAAAGTTTATTTCCCTATTTAAAGTGCTTTTTAAAAGCCAAACATTTTACAGTGGTACCTCGCAAGACGAATGCCTCGCAAGACAAAAAACTCGCTAGACGGAAGGGTTTTTTGTTTTTTGAGCTGCTTCGTAAGACGATTTTCCCTATGGGCTTGCTTCGCAAGACGGAAACGTCTTGCAAGTTTGTTTCCTTTTTCTTAACACCATTAATACAGTTGCGACTTGACTTTGAGGAGCAACTCATAGAACGCGGTGTGGTAGCCTTTTTTGAGGTTTTTGAAGACTTTGGTGATTTTTGAAGCTTTTCCAAAACTTTCCCGACACCGTGCTTCGCAAGACGAAAAAACTCGCGGAACGAATTAATTTCGTCTTGCGAGGCACCACTGTATACCTCTAAGGGTATCCTACTTACTCAAGTTTTTTTTGCTGTTTTTCTAGATCCTATTTCTTGAAACATCTGTTTAGTTTTTTCATTTCATTTTATCACTTGTGAATTGGTATCGATTGGGTGAAAGAGATCATTCAGTTTTCCCCTCTTTATTGTTTTGCAGCAGCAAATAATTAAATTCTGCCTGCCCAGATTTTCCTAAACTTGTTAAAATTGTAGCTTGAATAGAAGATTTGGGATTACTTACCTGGAAAATGATCCCACTGCATTTAATTAAACTTAATTCTGAGTTGGCATGTATAGAAGTGCACTGTCAGAGTACTTGGAAAACTAGCAAATAAAACACATTGAATATGATTTGTTGGGTTAAAGGGAAAGCATTTGTGGTTGGTCTTAAAAAATGCTTCAGTCAACTAGGCTTTCATTCATGACCAAAGGTTTTTTAGTTAAGATTTGTGTTTTGGGGTGGGGGAAGATATATATTTAGTGTTGGACTCTCAGAGAAAAAGAAAATCATTCAACCCTTCCAGAAGCTAGCTAGTTTTCTTCTTGATCATGGAAATTCTTTAATTCTGAGTTTGGGGCGCAAAACCACAGTTTTTCTGATCTTCCAGCATATACTGTATTTTTCTGTGTGTAAGACACCCCCTATTTTTAGGGACTCAAAATTAAGAAAATGGAGGCAGATTGCCCCCGTGTATAAGACTATCCGCCCCTTTTAACATTATTTTTTAGTAAAAAAAAAACCCCTAGACTTATACATGGAAAAGTATGGTCATGATTAGATGATGATACATAGCCTAACTTGAATGTATTTCTTAAAATTCTAATTCAGAATTGCTATTTCTCTAGTTTTGTCTCAGTAAATTTCACCTTCAAACTTCTTAAATTAAGGAACTGAGTAATGTCACTCACACGTTTAAAAAGCATACTCAACTTTGCTTTTCGAGGAAAACCAGTCACACTCTCCCAGTCTGAAATGAGACACTGCCTTCATTTCTTGCCAAGAATACCTCCCTCTCCAGCTGCTTTTGCCCAAAGAGATGCTGTTTATTACAAGCACAAGGAGCAAATAGCAGGTTGGGAGATCAAATTTTGGCAGGAAACAAGTGTGGCGCTGGAACAGGACGCTTTGCCTTCAATATAAAAACTGTAGTTTGGCCTTATGACAGGGCATGCAGAAAGAAAGAAAGAAAGACACATATCTTTATGAAAATTGGTCTGTTTAACCCAGGTACATGAAATAAATGATTTTACTTGCAGCCTTATAGAAGGCAAAGCACTGCTGATCGTTTCATATGATCCTAAAAACACATCTGTTTAGGCAAGCCTTTCCCTGATCTCATTGCTTGGTTATTTTAACTGTTGCTGTTTAAATTGTTGTGCATTTTAATTACAAATGTGCATTTTAATTATGGATTTATTTTATAGCTGTAATCTGCTTAGAAGCCATTTTGACATATAATTAATTAATAATAGAATTCTGCTGTTACTTGAAGGTGCCCTTCAAATGAATCCTACAAGATGAATAGCCAGAAGTGTGTTCGGTGTATTTCCAGAATATTGAATTGTACTAACAAATGTTGGTTTCAGTAATGAAAGAGGTTCATTTCCCCCTTAACTGTTTTCAGGCATGTTATTATTTGTTAACACACCCTCACATACTTTTGATTATATAAAATACCCTGAGTATTGCAAGGAGACAGCAGGGTTGGTCTGGCCAGTTTCATGGCTTTAATTCATTAAGATGAATGTCCTGTGCCTGAAATAATGTAGGGCACCTGTTTTTAAATGCATATGTGGCTTTTGCCAATAGTGCAGTAATTTCACTGTTTATTAAAATTACTTGCAAATGAAGGTAAGTGATGGTTGCTGAAACTTGGTAAAACTTTGGTATGGGACTTTAAAAAAATAAATTATAATCTTCGAGCCAGAACTCATCAGCGTATACATTTGGGAAACAGATAATCTATTCTGGAGGGTTTTTTAAAAATTAGGTGCTTTATCATTTCTTCCAAGTAAAATAGGTAGCTCATACAGGAGCTACATTTGTTAAGCCCAAGAAAGCTAACCTGGACCCTCCAGATGCTGCTGGACTTCAACACTTATCATCCCCAGCCAAGGATGATGGGTTTTGTAGTCTGGTACCTGGAAGGCCACAGCGCTGCTGTGAAGTCTGTTGGGCAAATAATACTTTGTATATTTAAATGTGGTATAATCAGTTGTATACCAGTAAGATATTACAACTGCAATGTGAGACTTTGAATGAATATCAAATATCCCTTGATGAAAAAGGCTATGAATGGCTACTGCACAAGATGAACACCATCCCTTTTTCTTCCTTTCACATTTGTTCTGTCTTTACACAGGTCCTCACGCCGAAACCGCCAGTGGATGCCAGAACTTGCAGTGTGGTTTCAGAGCCTGCTGCCGCTCTGGTGAATGACCTGACTACTTTCCTTTTCAGTCTACTTCATTAGCTCAGCAGGCTTCCTTTCATGCACTTTACTTACAGTCCGCATCTTGTGTTAACAGTTCCCTTCTGAAGTGCAAATTGTAGGTCCTTTCTGCCCCATAATTCAGAGTCTTATAAGCAAACTGTGTAGGGTCACACCATTCTCACAATGTTTCACTCTGATTTCGGAAGGTGAGAGGTTTAATTCTTTGTGCCGTGAAACTTACTCAGATTGTTTTTGACACTTTCCCCCTAACGTTTGGCACTTAATATTTTTATTTTGTGTTTTGTGCTAAGCCCTTAAGATTATTATTTTTTAAGCTCATGCTTCAATATAAATATTAAATACATCTGGATAACAATATATATTGTTCAGTAGTGATTTCTCCCATAACTTCTGATCCCAGAATTGTCTTACTGCAGAATTACAGATACTTTGTCTTAGCACTGACTTCATATGTTATAAGCTTAAAGAACAGTACATGGAACATTCCCATCAGCATCTGAATTTGTTAGAGTCTGGATAAGTTAGCAAGCCAATGACTGTTTGCCACATCTTTTTGTGGGCTTCACAAAGTATTTGCTTAACTGTAGTTGCATAGCAACCAGGACCCCCTGTATTGTCTATAGAAATTCATTAAAGACGCTGAATTCTGAAAGGGACTTTCCAAGAAGTGATTTCTCTGCTGTAAGAGCAACTGAAATAAATAAATTTTCAGCTTTAAGGAACTTGCTGGTCGTAATCTGCTCATTTGAATGGAGGGGAAGTTCAGTTGCATTGCAAAATAACGATATTGTTCCAGCAACTTGAAAGTTAAATGTGTTGGTAAACTTTTTAATGCAGTACGGCCACAACTTACATGTGTTTAACGTGTGCAATTTCAGCTTAACACAGTTGAAGGTTGGTTGAAATCACATAAATGCCTGGAAGGAAGACAGCTTTAAAGTTCTTTTAGCGCAGAGTTTTTTTGGGTGCAGAAAGCTTTTAAGCTCTCTGCTTTGCTTATCAGGCTCTGCAGTGCTCTCACGAGAGCACCCCAGGAGAAGAGCAAAACAAACCAGTGTGTGTGGCCAATCCAAGTTGTCCCCTGCATTTGGGGGTGGGCGAGGTGGGCAAGGCCTACTCAGTGCATGGCTCCGGAAAGGTAAGCATGCGTGCACAATGATTCCAGGGGAGTGGTTTGAGTATACATGCTTTCCCCTAGACGTTTTACCCCAGGAATGGAACCTCCGCACAAGACACAGTCAGACTGTACTGCTGCAGGATGAGTAATTGCTGTGTTTGCACATCAAGTGAACTAGAGCTCTCCAACTGTGTATGGCATTAAGCTGAAGATGAATTTGCACAAAACTTTCTGCCACAACTGGAATGAAATTTAGGGACAATAACAGACGTTTCATCCCATCTCTTTAATTTTGTATCTTGACCCTGAGTTTTAATTGTTAGCATATAAACAGGAAAGGTATATGCAGTACAGACAGTGTCTTTAAATGGTCCTTATTATCAACCTTTCTGCATGTAGAAATCATATGCCTGCCCTGTTACATTTTAGCTGTGTTCCAGCTAAAGCAGCATTCACTATGTGCATCAGAGGCGCTGGGTAGAAAATATGAAGATGTTCCTTGATATAGGGGAGGGCCAGGAATTGGTTTTACTTCAGACTGCTGCCAGGACTAGGCAAAATACCTTTTTCTGTGCTGATACTGCCATATGGGAGCAGTGAAAATAAGGTGCCAGAACCACATAATAGCTACCTTGACTTCCTAGAGCATTTCACATGTCAAGTTGATGAGTGAGTAACCCATACAGACATGGCAGTAAGTCAGGAGGAATTTAAACATCTTACATATTTCCTTAGCAGAGGTAAGCAAGTGTTTTCTGCAGCCTGGCTTTGCTATGGCAATTCTTAATCACAGGAAAACAACCTGCTAGGCTGCTCAGCCTAATTGTGAATACATTGCACAGCATGGCTTCAGGGGTTTTGAGCACATGATTTCCAGTGTGGCTGGAGCTGAAAGGTTTTATACAACTTTAATGGGGCATTGCAGAAAACTGATCAAATTCAGAGACTCCTTCCAGCATTTTAATCTGCACATTTTAATGATCTAGAGTTTAATACAAAATCATAAGATGATACTAATGAATTTAAATACTACAAGTAAAAAGTAAGTCTGAGTAACTCTTACCTATTACGAACCAGTGAAGCAACATAAATCCACACTGAAAGAATGTTTTTAGGGTATGCATGAACATACACAGCTAATGCAAACTCTATGTTTGGAACATCAATACTATGAACTCCAGTACTATATACTGCCTCCACTAAAGGTGTAACTTCTGAAAATGCCATGTGGATAGGAAATCCTGACACCTGCAAGTAAGAGGGGAAAATGTAAAAAAATGTCAATTTACCCGCAATACCACATCTGGACTCAGTTGGCCACTAAGAAAACTTCCAAAACGTTCGACTTCCAAGGCGTGGCTTCTGATTGGTTGCAGGAGCATCCTGCAGCTAATCGGAAGCTGCACTGGACGTACAGCTTCCGAAAATCATTCAAAAACTGGAACAATCACTCGGGAGCCAAAATGTTCAAGTTTAGAGCCGTTTTGTCTCCTGAGGTTCCACTGTAGATGTTACGATGAATGAAATGATGCCACATACATTCTGCAATTATGGGCCAGCCCTTCCACTTAAGGCAGGCATGGCCAAACTTGGCCCTCCAGATGTTTTGGGACTACAACTCCCATCATCCCTAGCTAGCAGGACCAGTGGTCAGGGTTGATGGGAACTGTAGCCACAAAAACATCTGGAGGGCCAAGTTTGGCCATGTCTGACTTAAGGTAAATTGAATCTCTTGGCTCAAGATGACTGGGAGAACAACAGCCTTCCTCCCGACCACCCTCCCCTGCCCTAGGGAAGACCTCTGTTGACTGGGATATCTTGACAGCTAGCTTTCTCTTAGATTGAAGCATTGTTCACCATTACACCTCTGTGCTTGTCATCGTAGTACAATAGCAGGTAGCACACTTTCCCCCTGCCCAGGTGGACCACCCATGCTGCTGGCCAGTTGATGCCCTCCCTCACCAGCAAGAAAAACTTGTTAAGCTTTGGAAAACTTACTGTAAGAGACACATTTCTAGACTAATTTCAAATAAGTCAGCAAAATGCTTTCACTGTATCACAAGCTAGAATGGAGAGATTTCATCACGTGGAGTGAATTACTGCTAAGCCCCAATACAAACATCACCCTGGGGGGAGGCAGGGAAGCACTATCCTATAATCCCAGTAATGTTACTAAACTCCCAGTTCCCTAGGGGCCGTTATTCTATACATTACCCTGTAATCTCCTAGTTGCTTCTGTAATTCCGCCTGATGGTCATCCTCTACATCTTTGCCCTGATTTTTTTCCAGCAGAGGTAAGAAGTGTCGAAGGGTAGAGGTACAGTATCTGTTCCAACGTGTCAAGTGTCTTGGCCTCCAACCCATGATCTTTTCTTTCAGTATCTTCTCAAGTCTGCATTTTAAAAAGTTTTAAAAGTTGCATTTGAAATTTTGCTGCTCCAGTGCAACTGTGGCTTCACAAGCACACACGAGATCTTTAGAATTCCACAATTACAGCCAGATTTGAAATGACACAGGCATTCCGTATTTCAATGACTTCTCCACAACATGCTTACGTAAGAAACCGAGGTGGCAAACCTAATTCTCAAGCATCATTTCAGACTGGAGGAAGACCAAGCCTTACATTATTGAATGCTCCTCCGGTAAAATAACCTATATCTAAAAAACTAGATGCTTGGGATAAAAGTTTTAAGCTCGTCTGACTTACAAGTTTTCTTCTGCTATTTGTTAGAACAAAGTCAGGATATTATGGAATGTCAAACTTGGAGAGGGCCAAGCTAAATATATTGCAAGGTAACCAAAATGGCTGCATAATAAAGTGCCGTATTTTTCGCTCTATAAGACGCACCAGACCATAAGACGCACCTAGTTTTTGGAGGAGGGAAACAAGATAAAAAAATATTCTGAATCCCAGAAGCCAGAACAGCGAGAAGGATCGTTGTTCTGGCTTCTGGGAAAGCTGTGCAGCCGCTTCAGGGCAGCGGGATGAAGGCTCCCCGTGCCCTGAAGAGGCTTCGCGTGGCTAAGCCAGAAGCTAGAACAGATCCCTCTCGCTGTTCTGGCTTCTGGGATAGCTGCGCAGCCTGCATTCACTCCATAAGACGCACACACATTTCCGCCTCCTTTTTAGGAGGGGAAAAGTGCGTCTTATAGAGCGAAAAATACGGTAGTCCAAGTCAATAGAATTTTCCAGATCCCTTTATAAAGTATTGAACTTAAAAGAGCTATGAATCAAACAATTTCACAATCGGAACCACCAAGCATTTCATATCCAATTGGAACTGACATTTTATATTGCTGGCATTCATTTTTCTTCAGAGTGTGTGTATGGAGGCGCTGGGCTGCCCAAATAACAAGACCCCCCCCACCCTCGGCCTCGCTGATGTGGTCCAAAGGTGGACAAACTACCCCAGAAGGACCAGAGGTACTGCCTCTCCTCTTAAAACCCCATACACCTGACATTTGATGTATGTCATCGTTAAATGCGGTTGCAAAACACATTCAATAGACATGGGTACCTGTTCTGCAGTTCTAGGGCAGCTGTCTTGTCCACCCGTTGATAGACTAGTTCGTCAGGCTAACAAAATATGAAGGGGTAAGGTATAATTCGGTATTTACATAATGTGAAATATGCAATCTTGCTTTTAAGATATACTGGGATACACTGATACTTCAACCCACCTACTCTGCCACCCACAAAACCTGGAGGAGGAGAAGGAGAAGGAGAAGGAGAAGGAGAAGGAGAAGGAGAAGAAGAAGAAGAAGAAGAAGAAGAAGAAGAAGAAGAATTTATTATTTATACCCTGCCCATCTGGCTGGGCTGCCCCAGCCACTCTGGGCGGCTTCCAAAAAAAATATTAAAATACAGTGGTGCCCCGCAAGACGAATGCCTCGCAAGACGAAAAACTCGCTAGACGAAAGGGTTTTGCGTTTTTTGAGTCGTTCCGCAAGACGAATTTCCCTATGGGCTTGCTTCGCAAGACGAAACATCTTGCGAGTTCTTCTGAGTTTGTTTCCTTTTTCTTAAAGCCGCTAATAGCCGCTAAGCCGTTAATAGCCGCTAAGCCGCTAATAGCCGTGCTTCGCAAGACGAAAAAACCGCAAGACGAAGAGACTCGCGGAACGGATTAATTTCGTCTTGCGAGGCACCACTGTACTGTAATACATCCAACATTAAAAGCTTCAGATGTCTTCTAAAAGTCTGGTAGTTGTTGTTCTCTTTGACATCTGGTGGGAGGGTGTTCCACAGGGCGGGTGCCACTACCGAGAAGGCCCTCTGCCTGGTTCCCTGTAATTTGGCTTCTCGCAGTGAGGGAACCGCCAGAAGGCCCTCAGCGCTGGACCTCAGTGTCCGGGTAGAACAATGGGGGTGGAGTCGCTCCTTCAGATATACTGGACCGAGGCCGTTTATACTGGAGAACTGTACCTGTGGTAGGCACCTTAAAGTGGGCACTCTTGCAGCAAGCAGGGAATCTACAAACCTACACAGGAACCCCAGAGAGTCCCTGTAGAGAGTTTTTTGTCTTCATCCAACTTGCAGTTCTCTGATTCTCAGTACTGTGCTAAAAGCTGAACTTCAGATTGTTTCTCTACTCCCTCCCATTA